CTTAACCCCATCTGAAGGGCCAACAGTTTATGCTTACGTTTGGGATTTCTTTGAATTCGCGCCTTACAGCTTTTATCACTGCTGGAGTCCTAACAGACCGAGGGCGACCACTTTGACCTGTCATACACTAGAGTCTTCATTGTATCGTTTGATGGTACGATAAACGAATCTTTTGGTTATATTCAAATTTTTCAGTATGTTAAAAATTTGAATTGGCGCGTAACCGCAACGATGCAACGCAATAACTGCAACACGGTCTTCTTTAAGCGTCCACTCCATATTTAAAAATGAGTAAAATTCTAAAAGTATATTTTATGGGGTTCATTAGGGATTCGCAGAGGCGAATCGGGAAAAAAACCGGGAAAATAGTTTCGACGCTCAATATAAGTTTTATATTCGTTGCAAAATCTTCAATATTTTTGTAGTTTAATAGTAGAATGTTGAAAGTTCACAAAACAACTCTGAATATGCATGATAATAGCTGCTAACTTATAAAAAATCGCGTTTCAAATTAACTTCCTGTGGTGGTAATTATTTTAGTGCTAGAAACTTTGCTCTCTTTTATTTATTTGATAATAATAGAAGACGACTATGATTTATAAACGTTATTTAGTGTTTGTTATTCAACCAGCAATATATATATAAAGGTATAATAACCGCAAACTTCTTGAGCATAATTGTTGACTCTAGTGGGGGTAAGTTTGCGCATGGTACTACTCACGTGCAAAAACATTACTTACTCTGCTGTCATAATGCTATTAAATTATTAAAATCAACATATGTATTTATTTATATATTTATTAGAACATCAACAAAACATATAGGTTAATAATTGTAATAATTTAATCTTGGGGTAAAATAGATATTCCTTCTATTAAGTCAAAACTAGAGCTGTTGCCAGGTCTTGGTTCAGTTAAGCGAAGCTGGTATTTGTAATTTTTTTTTCGTTATCATAATCTTGACCATCATCATCATCACTGTTTTCATCACCCGAGTCGCTATCATCGTGATGAGTCGACATAGGGCTCACTATTCTTGCTTCCCTGATCTTTTCTTACCCGGAGTCCGAAAGACGGCGAGCAAGCCAGAGCCTTTAGCTTCGTTAATAATGCACCTAACAGTACTCACTGATGTTTGGCTTCCGAAGTCTGTTTTAATTTTTCCATATCATTCTTCCCCTGTTTTATAATGAAGCAATATACGTCGTACACAAATTTTCTACCCTTTCTTTTAAGTACTACACCAGTTTGTCACGGCATAGTGTATGTTTTATAAAAAATCAACAAACACTCAACAAATACAATGGCAACAAAGTCCACAAGCAATTATAACAAATAACTTAACGATTAATAACGATAGACTTTCCACTGTACGCAAGCGTACTTTTGGGAGCAAGCGGAATGAGGGCGCGGTGCGGGACGCAAGGTTCGACTGATCTACCAATAACGCGCTCGATACGATTTCCCCTGCCGTCGCGCCTCACCCTCACCACCAAAGTGATCTAAAATTCGGTTCTGCGCAGTCAAGGTCATTTGCTCAAGAAGTTTGCCGATTACTATAAGTCTCAGTTGTTATTGGTTTTAATGTATTTGATTAAATAAAAATACATGTAAAAATCTGTTGTTTTTGGGGATATTGGGGACGTCTTAGGTATAAAATAACAACGAAAAAGGGGTCAATTGGGATGAGAATACGTGAAATGGAAACGACCTAAGTATAAATAGGTACAGGTTTGTAGGGTTGTCTATGTAGTTATAACAATATTTTTTAAATTTGTTGGTAAAAATCTGGTTTATTCGAAGCGAAATTGGGAATAAGTCTTTAGTTGAAATAGATAAGCAATTTAATATAAGTAAGTCGATTTTGCAGAGACATGTAACAAGATCAATGAAATCTCAAGGTGGACAAAAATGTCTAAGTAATACATAATAAAATATTTAATATTTGTTCAAAGTGGGGGTATTCATCTGATTAATCCATGGAATAACCGACACACCTAACCTCTTAACCCAGATAGAAATATCAGCACTGTCGATTGCACCTATAATTGAGGTGATGTCTGCCATGTACTTCTGTCAGTTTTTCAATTTTTTTTATTGATGATCACTTTGTTGGTGCAACTATATAAATAAATTAATTAAAACTATATATAAAAATAAAAGTAGTGCCAACCCTAGCAAATTTCTCATTTCGTCCCAATTAACCGCAATTTTCGGGTAAATAGGGATTACACCTATTTTTGCATTTTTTGCTTAAACTGGAATGCTAGTTGCATAATTTTAAAATAGACAACAAAGATGCCCCCAAGACTCAATCATTTTGATCCTGATATAGCATTATATACATCAACAACTACCTTAAAATTGCTCATAAAGTTGGAATTTGTCCCTAATCGCCCCATTTTACGGTATACATTTTTATTTTCATGAACAATTCGAAATTCGAATTCAATAAACTTTTTTGTGGCCAGCATTCTAAAAGAAAAGTTTTTACTGTGTGAGAATACTTATGACCTGACTAGTTAGTGTGTAAAGTTTTCCTTTTCATATAAAAAGCTGGAATATAGTGACAGTGACCTATGACTTTCTACATGTGAAGGATAGGTGGACTGATTCTGCCGGTGTACGGGTCATGTATCGTACAGGGCACGTGCACATTCACATCAGCATTTTACATCGCTTTACTCAAACCGTAGTATAAAGAGCCAGTACACGTCCAGCACTCATATACAGCGGTACTCACCACATCGACATACATAGATAGAATTAGTTACTTCTTAGCGAAGTATATAATAAACGGATATTCTTTGACTATTAGTTATTTCTTCCTATCTAAATCCCAAGCTGTGAACGCCACATTCAGCAGCGCATACAGCCGGTAATCATTCTCGACCAGGGCTTTCGGACATGGTTGCGGGACGAATCACGGTAAGTCGTCAGACCTAATTTTTTTTATTGCTCTTGTAAGCAGACGAGCATACGGCTCACCTGATGGTGAGTGGTTAACGTCGCCCATGGACTTCAGCAATGCCAGGGGCAGAGCCACGCCGGCGCCGCTGCTTACCGCTTAATACTCTCCACAAGCCTCGTTTGAAGAAGGACAAGCTATAGCGCTCGTATAACACCGTGGAGGGGAGCTCATTCCAAAGCCGGTTGGTACTATAACTAACTATAACTATGAGACGACACAAAAATTGCTGTCAAAAAAATCATTTACCTGAATGTAATGTATTAAAAAACTAGAAAACAAATCGGATTCGATTTTCGATTGCAAGGCGCGATGTGAACCAATGGTTTCCTTTACATTTAGCCGAACTTAACAATTCGAATCCTTAATCAGAGACAGTAGTACGTTCGCTATGGGTTACCGTTGACGGTGGGCGAGCCGTACACGCCGCCCGGCCACTCCGTGGTGACGGTGTACTGGCAGTGCCGGTACTCCGCGCGCCGGTACAGGATCACCGACGTGCCCTTCGGGGCGTACCCGTACTGAAAACAAATTCTATTCTATTTTCTCATTTCTAATTTTTTTTTTTGACGTGACAACGTCTTATTATTAGATGGAGCCGGCTGCACGCACGAAAAAACATACCTCATGGCGTTACCTCGCTCTGAGGCGTTCCATTTAAGACTTGAAGTGCAAACGAGAGTGCGCATTGCGCGACAAAGAGGCACATTGTAAAAAAAATATTACATAATTGTATTTATGCGTACAAATAAATATAACTTGATCAATTCAATAGTGATTTCCATTTACCTCCTCTATATCCATACAAATCTATCAAACAAATAAAATTTAAATTTTCTTTTGGAAAATGAAGCTATTCCATCAGTATTTTCTTATGACGTTGTCACGTTCAACTATCGTCAGTAAACCGACTTTACAGACAACCGATTTTTTTTTACTTAGATAGGTGGACGAGCTCACAGCCCACCTGGTGTTAAGTGGTTACTGGAGCCCATAGACATCTACAAAGTAAATGCGCCACCCACCTTGAGATATAAGTTCCAAGGTCTCAAGTATAGTTACACCAGCAGCCCCACCCTTCAAACCGAAACGCATCACTGCTTCACGGCAGAAATAGACAGTGTGCTGGTACCTACCCGCGCGGACTCACAAGAGGTCCTACAACCAGTAATTACGCAAATTATAATTTTGCGGGTTTAATTTACTGTATATTTAATTTACTGTACATTCTCTGGCCCAAACTCACAAGCGTTCTGATTTCTATCCCTATCTATGGTCTCATTTAGATCCTCTGGGTCTTTAGAATAAATGTATTTTTCCCTGTACCGAGATCACTAGCTCGGGTTTTATAAACTCGTGGCAAGCGTGTGTGCGCCAGCGCCGTCGGTTCAAGCTCCTAAATCGCTATGAGTTAATAAGTTGTTATCTGCCCATCATTAGATATTTGCCTACTGCACAAACTTTGTTTGCGAGAAGTGTGAAAATTAATGAAAACAGGACCCTGGACGAGGATCCAGAATTGGATCGCCCAAGTCCAAATCCGCACGAGAAAAGGCCACAAATAGACGGGTGCCCATTTACGTTGCGAAGCAGTTACACAGTTGTTACACTTGAGAGTTAAACCTCATATCTCTCACGACACTCACGGCTGTGAGTTCCTGTAGCCACTTAACTTAAAGCCAGCTGTCGGATTCTCTAGCTGCGTAGGGACGTACCTTGTGCGTGTCGGCGGAGATGCTGGCGACTCCGGACAGGCGGAAGTCGAAGGGCGGCACGTGGTGTCCGGCGGCCGGCATGAAGCCCGCCACCAGCCCGCCCAGGCACGCGTCCACGTGCAGCGGCACCCCCGCGCGCACCGCCAGCGCAGACAACGCGCCGATGTCGTCCATCGTGCCGTACGGGTAGTTCGGAGCCGACCCCACGATCTGATGAACCACCCCGCACTTAGTCACCTATTCTATCTACAAATGCCTGTGACTCCGACATTAGAAAAGCTATTTTAAAATATTTATAAGGTGATTTAGTCCGATGATGATTATAATCTTGTAGTGTAAGTTGATGTACAAAATAATATATGGGTATTGTGTTGGTTTTGTTTTTTTGTAACTTAAATTTCTAAATTTCTCTTCTCTGTTCACTTTCTACATATATGTGATTTTGATTGTGGAAACATATTTGGTTATTGTTTTAGCTATATTTTTAAAATATTATATGTTTGTATTGTACTGTTTGTTTCCCAAATAAATAAATAGATTACTGACGCTCATATGCGACGTTACCATTCACCATCAGGTAGTCCATATTTTTTACGCCGGTAAGAGTAACGCCATCTATCGCCGAATAGTCGAACGAATATCGAAGGATCTAGTAGTTCCTAGAACGCTCGAAAAGTACAACGCCATCTATTGTCAGATAGCGGAAACTACTACTAGAGATGTGTGGAATATTCTCGATAATTCTAGGGATGAGGTATCGGCTATAAAAGCGTTGTAGAGATAGCAAGCAGGTCAGTAATCGGAACTACTCGGAGCAAAACAGCGAACGGATGACCTGAAGCGAAGCGGAACAAGCGAATTGAGAGTTTTAAGGTGTTTGTTGAGTGTTTTAAAGTGTTTGTGAAGTGTTTAAATGTTCTAAGTGTTGAATACAGTTTTAAGTTGTACTCCGGTAGAATTTTATTTATCCCGAACCCCAGCGAGTAACAATATTCTCATCTGCCTAAAAAAGCCATTAATACTCGCCCGCTTCGCTAGGCATTTAAAATTAACATTATTATTTATTATCACTATTATTAGGGAGTCCAACACTCATATAAATATTAGCCTATCCATTAAGTACATGTATTTTCTACATGGATACCAAGTTTCAAGTCAATCGGTGCATGGTTCAGTAGTTATAACGAAACATCCGTCAAAACCACTGTAAATTTATATATTAGTATAGATATGCTACTCTCATAACAATATTACTGGCGGTAGGACCACTTGTGAGTTCGCGCGGGTAGGTACCACCGCTCCGCCTGTTTCTGTCGTGAAGCAGTAATGCGTTTCGGTTTGAAGGGTGGGGCAGCTGTTGTAACTATACTGAGACTTTAGAACTTGTATCTCAAGGTGGGCGCGTCTACGTTGTAGATGTCTATGGGCTCCAGTAACCACTTAACACCAGGTGGGCTGTGAGCTCGTCCACCCATCTAAGCAATAAAAAAAAATAAAAAAAAAGAATGAAAGAAGTTCAAGAACTCACCAAGCACGTTCGTCTTCCAATAGCATCGCTGACCTTATCGACATCGACACATAGCGTCACCGGGTCCACCGGTATGGTCACAACAAACAGGCCTAAGTACTGAGCCGCCTTGTCGAAAGCAGAATGGGCAGTTGATGGCACGATTATCTGTGGGTTGCTTATGCCCTTGCTGTAGGCGAGGTCCCTGAAGGCCTTGCACGCCATTATTATGGATTCTGTGCCACCTGTAGTTACCTAAGAATAATCATACTAAATTATTTAAACTAATCATCCCGCAGTAGTCGAAATCCGATTGAAATGATAAGTTTGAACATTATTTAGGTTCTATTGTCAAAGACTATTATACTTCTTTATTCACAGATTTCATCAAGACCACACTATAGACAAATAATATTAAAGATAAACAATATTAATCTATTCTTAATTTGACCACAGACTTTATGCAATAACAAATATTTGACAATAAACAAAGAGTATATTATTATATAATTATGTATTTGTGTCAAATACATGGCAGTGTGTGTATAGTTTTTTTCATGGATTTAATGTATTATTAATGTAAAATAAAAAAATAAAAATTTACATTCTGCACTCCTTCTCTATATTCTCTATAAGTGTGGGAAATTTCATAATCCTCCGTCCGCGAAATATTCGTAAAAAGGGGTACAAAGTTTTTGCTTTACATATTAATATATAGATAAGTCTTAAAAACCTTTCACTATCTACATCCCACAAGATTGTCTAAAAATACTATTATTATTACTAACACTACTACTATTAAATGAAAATCCACTGAATTATTAGGGACGTTTTACATATTTAGAAGCTAGAAGATATTGCAATGCAGACTAGGGTAACTCCCTCCATCTTCTACGGCTGCTACCATTCATAGTAATCTCTCTTCTACCTAGCTTGCTCTAATCCAAAATACAGGCAGCCTATGTCTGCAAAGTGATAAAGTGTTCCAAATCTAAAGAGCATGATAACTCATATACCAATCCAACTGAAACTTGGACATGGTGATAATGTATAATAGCCATTGTGGCCTAAACCTGTTTTTTTTCTTCATATTATTGTATTTGGCAATAGGTGCAATGAAAATAAGGAAATCAAGTAATTATTTCAAACAATTTCTAAGACAACAAATTTTTTTTTCGGGCTTGGGCCCGAACCTCCTACGAGGTCCCCAAAGACAACTAGATCAGATCAAAGTAATAAATATATCTCAACTGAACAATTTAAATATTTCAATAAAAAATCTAATATTTAATTGCAAACGTTAATATGTGATGCGTATATAATAGATTATTAGTTACTATGACAAATAATGAAGATAAGCATTGTTAATTACGTTAATGATGTGCGGAATGGAAAAAACACTAATGACTGTGACGGAGTCACCTTGAATCAACTAGTGCCAAGTAATGATATGACTCATTACATAGCCTTATTTGGATCACAGCATACTTCAAAACAAACGGTATTTACAAAGTGGTTCTCAAACATTGCAAATAAAGAAAGGTGACTCTGTTAGTAAAAAAAATCCACTACCTGCATAACGTTATACTTTTTTGCACACACTCATATACCATTTAGTCTTAGGCAGTTACCAGATCTAAAAGACAATAAATTAATGTCAATTACCATAAAATATGATTTATTTGACAGCCCTATAAGCCACACCTTAACCACTGATTAAGTGTCTTAAGTTATTTAAAAACAATTGTGTTAATTTGCTTCTTCTGCAAATGTCTTAATTACATAAGAGCATAATACACCTACTGTGCCACAACACTCCTCATCACCATTGAATAAATTAATAGCCATCTGCACAATCTCCGCCTCCATTTTGTTAATTCCTGGGAAGACATCTGAGTGCAGTGGATTGGTGTAGGCAGTCAAGGTATAAGCCTCGCAAGCCACACGACTGATGTCTTCACACAAGTGGTAGACTGCACCAGATACTGCACCATTCTTCCAATCATAAGCCCCTAAAATCCCAAAATGTTTTATAGGTAAAACACAAGAGTCAGACCTCTTGAATTGTCAAAACTGATCAAAAGATCGTAATCATTAATGTTGCTGATGCACCTGTGCAACAAGTGAACTGCTTTCAAACCTCATTTCAAGGATATGTCACACCGTTGAACTACTCTGGAGGGTTTGTGTAAATTAAAATAATTAATGAAATAAAATGTAAAATGTTATGTTAAAGAAAAATATAAACATACCTAAATTCAGATGATCTCTGACTTCTTGCGATATCTGTTCAGGATCCAAACCTTGTTCAGGCAATTCTCTTCTAATTGTGACTCCTGCGAGTCTCTTTTCTACATCTGTATGGAAATCTTTCTTTATCTCGGCCATTTTTTGTTCTATCTTCTTCCTTACCATTGGAACTTGACGTAGCCACCTGAAAAACTGTTTTCGAAGGCGGACTGTCACACCTGCACATAAATATTTCAATATTATATAAAATTTATTCTATTAACATAAATATATGTATGTCATAAATGTGGTTCTACATTTTGAGGTTGACATAGCCTAAAAGGATAATTAATACACTTGGTGGATTCATATCAAGCAATGCAACAGTAGTTCAGCAGGTACCAATTTTTCTAGTGAATGATGTACTTAACAAATGTTCATGATCGACTTCCACAGCATAATAAAAGTTAAAGCAGCAAAATTGTAATTTGTATAATTACTGGTGGTAATGTTTTAGTTTTACCTTTGTCATCAACACCAGCAAAACTCGTTGTGCTTTTCAATTTTATAAGTAATGCCAAATAAGTTATGATGCCAAGCATATAATATATCAAAAGCAACTTGGAATTTGTGTCTGAGTACTTACTTTCTCTTGCATTGTATAAACTGTGAACCCAAACTATGGCTAATAAAGAAGAAGCTGTCATTGATACAATTTGCCATGGCTCCTTTCCATCAAAAAACTTGTTTATAGCCCTTAAGGGCTGTGGTCTCTCACTCATGACTAGTGATTTCTAAAAAAAATATATATGTTTACTATAAAGAGACTTTGCCTTTGTAAGCAATAAAATAATTGCATTTCCTTCATAGTTCATTCATTTTACAAAAAATAAAAAATAAAATTCTAATTAATAGGTTTGCTTTTAATACCAATTTTACTTTATGTGCTGTTGGAGTTTGAATATGTAAGTAATGGCAGGCAACACTTGTCAAATGTGAAGTAACAGTTTTCTAATATTGGAATGTTTATTTCAATTAAAACAGATGATTGACAGAAATGAAGTTCATTGAATCTTCTAGACACAGACAGTGAAACATACTAGGGTTATAAAATATTGTAAATGTGTGATAGTGTAGTGTTTGTAATATATTAACCATGATGTCAATATTTTTAAAATAGCCTCTTACATCCAGAGAGCAGTCCCCTCAAGTAGAACCTTCCAACATGTTCTCTGTATAAAATCTACATTTACAACAAAAATCATACCCATACAAATAATATCAAACAAATAGGAGTATTTTCAGAATGTTCTAATTATTACTTACTTAGCAGTGTTCAAAGTACAAGAAACTACAATATTCCTATATTATACTCCTATCAGTTTCACTAATCCCTCAATCAAAGTGCTATAGACATAATCTTGAATAAATCACTGATAACAACTATAGTTCTTACAACGTTTTAGAAAAGGTTTATTTGCCCTCCAACCTTCGCCTATGGACACAACACCAGGGGAAGCAGCCATATGATGCTAGTTATTCCCACAATGCTTGTCTTAGTTGTAACATCGCCAACAATATGAACATAAGGCATAAATGATCTCCGACATAATAGACTACAAGTAAAAAACACCCAAAGAATAAAAAAACAATAAATTTGGTAAACACAACCTAAAGCCACTGACTATTGTGATCACCAAAGTTTGACTAATTTGACTATCGTTCACGAAGTAAAATTAACCTGCGTAAAATATTACTATATATCTATTTTTTTATTTGGTCACAAATAAAAGTTACATATTATTATTATCATTTTTATTTATTGAGCTGTATCTGTACTTGTGTAGTCACCTATACCTATTTATAGTATAAAATTTGATTTACCTTTTCCGACCTAGCGAGACCGCAAACAATAAATAAGCTAGTACCTATCTTACCTATGTAACACTAACGGCCGTTTTCAATAACCTATCTATCCCTAGTTTCGGTTACTAAAGATAGACAAATCTATATTTTTGTCCTTACTTACGTTCCAATAACCTATCGACGGGCAGCAGTTCCTATCGGATTTATCTATCCATCGTCGGGAGGACGGATAGCCTGCTAAAGATAGAACGCTCATACAAATCGTGCTTACTTCCGTTTCAATATGAGTTTTTAGTAACTCTCCGGTAGGCGGCGCTATCTCTAGTATGGGCATTCGCTTATCTGTCAAAATCGGCCGGTTACATGTTTATCTTTCGAAAGTAAATCGCTATATTTAATAATTGTTTCTCTTCATATTGGCATATTGTAGCAGTGATGATAGTGATATGGAATTATTTCAAATGATAATGGATTGTGATGCAGATAGTGATAGTGNCTCAACAAATAGCAATGGCAACAAAGTCCACAAGCAATTATAACAAATAACTTAACGATTAATAACGATAGACTTTCCACTGTACGCAAGCGTACTTTTGGGAGCAAGCGGAATGAAGGCGCGGTGCGGGACGCAAGGTTCGACTGATCTACCAATAACGCGCTCGATACGATTTCCCCTGCCGTCGCGCCTCACCCTCACCACCAAAGTGATCTAAAATTCGGTTCTGCGCAGTCAAGGTCATTTGCTCAAGAAGTTTGCCGATTACTATAACAATATTTTCTTAAATTTGTTGGTAAAAATCTGGTTTATTCATGATGTTTTTGTCTAGAACTTTTATTCAAAATTATCAATGTGTTATTTTATTGTTTGGTAAATATTTATATTATCAGTTAAGTATTGTTTTCTATTTTTAGATATGCCTCGCGTGTATCTATCAAAGAGTGCAAAGCCTTATAAGATATATGATCCCTTAATATTAAAAACAGCAATAGAAGCCTATGAAATTGGGAATAAGTCTTTAGTTGAAATAGCTAAGCAATTTAATATAAGTAGGTCGATTTTGCACAAACATGTAACAAGAACAATGAAATCTCAAGATGGACAAAAATGTCTAAGTAATACATAATAAAATATTTAATATTTGTTCAGAGTGGAGGAGAGGTGACATCTCCCATGTACTTTTTTCAGTTTTTCAATATTTTTTATGCAACTAAATTAATTAATTAAAACCCTACAACCCTAGCAAATTTCTCATTTCGTCCCAATTAACCGCAATTTCCGGGTAAATAGGGATTACACCTATTTTTGCTTTTTTTGCTTAAACTGGAATGCTAGTTGCGTAGTTTTAAATTGGACAACAAAGATGCCCCCAAGACTCAATCATTTTGATCCTGATATAGCATTATATACATCAACAACTACCTTAAAATTGGTCATAAAGTTGGAATTTGTCCCTAATCGCCCCATTTTACCGGTAGCTAATATATTAAGTGTATAATCTATGGTAAGTAGGTAGGTACGGTACGTACCGTACGTCTAACGTCAATTTCTTTTTTTTTCTTGAATATTGTACAAGACAAAAGGAACGCAGTCTATACAACTAAATTTTAAAAAAAAGGCCGAAATCATATCTGTTGAATGAAAGAAATTGAATCACAAAGAAATAAAATTGATGAATTAAAATAACCTCCCAATAAATTCGAAAAAAGTTTGGAAACTTAATAGATTTTTTAAGAGAACTCGAGAACCATCGATTTTATTTCTCGCATTTCGTAAATTCGAGCATAGTTATTGTTACCCTAATTATGAAATATTTAAGTGTAAAGGCGGCAGATAGAGGCAAATGGCATGGAATGGTCCGTAATAAGCTCTTGTTGCGAGGAGGTGGTCACGACCCTCAGTATTGAGGAAACCGAAGCAAGAAGAAAAAGAAGTGTAAAGAAACTTCAAAACCAACGAAATAATACAATTCGTATAGCTATAGCAATTCGTATACTCTCGTCAAAATTTCCCCCGTAAACTTTAATAGGGGTTTGATTTATATAAATCATGTTGTAGATTTAATTTTTTCAGTTCTCGCTAAATTTAATTCTGTATGTCTTCTACCATTATGAAATGAAATTGATATTTATTAAAAATGTTTAGTAAAATGTACATAAAATGTAAACCCATCGAGTGTCTGCCTATTTCTGTGGTGAAGTAGAGCATTCTTATTTAAAACATGGAATAGCTGATAATGCCCAATGCAATGATGACATTTTGTCTTAAAGTCGGCTTCAATGGCTCAATTCACCTTGTAATATCCATGGGAGAGGGGACAAACAATTATACCAAAAATAACTAGAAAATTAACTAAAATAACTAGGTCTATAGTCGGATTTTTTATTAGACGAAGTTAACTGACGTTTACTGTGTTGTCAGTTTTTGATGAAATAAAAATAGTGTTGTGACAAAGTGAACGATTGAAAAAACTCCTGAATTAATGAAATTGCCTCGATTGTCTAGTGAATAGTTGGTGTGCCGAATTGCCGATATCGGGTACGGGGTTCGAATTTTAGGCGTGCTTTGTACATACCAACGAGTTTTCGACGAAATATTATGTTCCTATAGTATCTACCTGTACTGAATACCGAGTGTTTTAAACATTAAGAAAAACATTGCGAGGAAGCTTGTAAGACTGTCCTATTTCCAATACATCATATAGTTGAAATTATAGACGTATAAAATATAACAATTATAGGTAGGTAATGAAAATAAAAAAACTGATTGTAGTTACATACTACTAGTAACATATATTGGAGCACTTTAATACAATTTTATTGTAAAATATAAATAATATTCTTTTATAGTTTGAAATTAATGATTAACTCTTCACACTCATTGTTCATTCATGTGATTGAACGAGAACTGAACGCATCACTATTACTTTAAATATAGCAACATTATTTCACAAAGTGACATTAGCTACTGTCAGCTGGCTTCGTCTAATTAAAAATCCGACTATAAGTACCGTAAAATGGGGCGATTAAGGACAAATTCCAACTTTATGAGCAATTTTAAGGTAGTTGTTGATGTATATAATGCTATATCAGGATCAAAATGATTGAGTCTTGGGGGCATCTTTGTTGTCCAATTTAAAATTATGCAACTAGCATTCCAGTTTAAGCAAAAAATACAAAAATAGGTGTAATCCCTATTTACCCGAAAATTGCGGTTAATTGGGACGAAATGAGAAATTTGCTAGGGTTGGCACTACTTTTATTTTTATATATAGTTTTAATTTATTTATTTATTTAGTTGCACCAACAAAGTGATCATCAATAAAAAACATTGAAAAACTGACAAAAGTACATGGCAGACATCACCTCAATTATAGGTGCAATCGACAATGCTGATATTTCTATCTGGGTTAAGAGATTAAGTGTGACGGTTATTCCATGGATTAATCAATGAATACCCCCACTCTGAACAAATATTAAATATTTTATTATGTATTACTTAGACATTTTTGTCCACCTTGAGATTTCATTGATCTTGTTACATGTCTCTGCAAAATCGACTTACTTATATTAAATTGCTTATCTATTTCAACTAAAGACTTATTCCCAATTTCGCTTCGAATAAACCAGATTTTTACCAACAAATTTAAAAAANATGTTGTTTCGTATTTGTAGTAGAACGAAACGTATCAAGAGGCTCGGATAAATCGGAGGGAAGAAGCTATCTACTGTTGGTTAAAGAGAGATAGCACTTATCCGTGATTGTGAAACGCAAACTAAGGCTAGATACGCTCTTGCTGATATTCGGAGATAGCTATCTATCCGAAAACTCAGATACGTTATTGAAAACGGCCGTAAAACAAACAATCCTCAGCAACTGTCATTGTATTCAAGCCGAGGTCCAAAAGTCGATTCCTTTAGATCTGATAATCACATCAACTGGTGACACTGTGCCCTGTGTCTATTGTAAGATAATGTAAGTACCGTAAAATGGGGCGATTAGGGATTGAAAGGCGAATCGGGAAAAAACCGGGAAAATCTTTCGATGCGCAATATTAGTTTTATATTCGTTGCAAAATCTTCCATTTTTTGTAGTTTAATAGTAGAATGTTGAAAGTTTACAAAACAACTCTGAATATGCATGATAATAGCTGCTAACTTATAAAAAATCACGTTTCAAATTAACTTCCTGTGGTGGTAATTATTTTAGTGCTAGAAACTTTGCTCTCTTTTATTTATTTGATAATAATNAACGTGTGTATGAAAGCTCTTGTAGTGAATTTTAATTTAGGATTATACGTGAAATTAAAATATCAATTCACAGAGGGCGCTACCTTACAATTATTTACTAATGACAAAATTTTACATATACTTAAGACGTTTAGGATAATTGTATTTTAATTTTGGAAGGTTTCACTTCTACCACGTGTGAATTGCACACATTTTGTTTTTTTTTCAGGTATTTCAACTTTAAATTAGTCTACTATAAAGTTCACGCATTGTCGCTTAGTCACGTTTGCCTTTCAAGCGTCGATATGAACGACAGCGACAGAGACAAAGACCTTAGTTCTCAGTCGAGATTTTTATCTTCAAAAGTGTGTTTTCTTAAAAAAATCAGAATTATAGAAAAAAGGTAGCTAGTCCCTGAAATTCAGCCTAAGCTCATAAATCAGCTTCCTATTACTTCGCGAAGTGCATTTAATGTATTTCAAGCCAAGTACAAAATCATATACCTCCAGCATTCAGATGCGCCTGCACTTGTTTCGCCGCTCGTATTGCCTGGATGAACTCTTCGTGTTTTTGTCGCCAGTTGCTGTTCAATTGCTTGCCTTTGTTCACTTTAGTAGTTGACGGAGTAGCGGTGGTTTTGCGCAATTTATTGATAAAGGGCTCTGCTTCCGTTCCCTAAAATTTGATAAAATATGTCAGTTTTGTAAAAAAAAACAACTATAAATGATACAAGCACGAATCAAATCAAAATAGTATGTAAAGTAAAATGGTTAATAATTTAAATGATTTAAAAAAAAGTGTAACTTTTGTAAAATACGAAAACTGTTTAACAGCAATTTGTGTAACAAAAGTGTAACGCCATTAATTAGAATATTAATAATAGAATGAGTAGTATATGAAACCCCAAAAAAAAAAATGGATTTTGACGACAAAACAATACATGCACATCAATTTTACACACATGATTGTTTAATATAAATTATCTTGCCTTATAACTTTCAACTTCGGTACCCTGAGTTTTAAGGAAAAAAAGGTTTTGTTAGTAATTTATATTTCAAATTACGCTGTTAATTTTCAAAAAAATCCTTCCCTTTCTTAAACCAAGGAAGCTTACATTTAATCAAATCAAGCATATAAATTAGTACAATTATTTTGTTCTAAGTTATTTACAATATAATATGTAAGTAGCCCTGAGTACATTCTCAAATGAACCCAGTGTGATAATGTGACATTCAGTTATACCTTATATAAAAGTTTGATAAAAACTCCGTTCTTAATTAATTTGAAACAGCTTCATCACTACATAGTATAAAACAAAGTCGCTTTCTTTGTCCCTATATCTGTCCCTATGTATGCTTATATCTTTCAAACTACGCAACGGATTTTGATGCGGTTTTTTTTAATAGATAGACTGATTGAAGAAGAAGGTTTATATGTATAATAACATCCATTAAATAGTGGAGAAATCAATAATTAATTACAGTTTCCGAAGCGAAGCGAGGGCAGGTCGCTAGTTTGTTGATAATTGATGATGATATTGATATTGAACGTTATAAACTTACAGCCAAACGATGTTTGAGTACATCAAAGGGTTTCCTTTTCTTGCTGTGGGCCTTTTTGCAGATCTCCTGGTGTTTAGCGATGCGATCGGAGGCGAAGTGTCTACCGCAGACGCCGCACGCGTCACCCGACGCGGCCGCGCTGCTTGGAGCTGTCGCCGTTGTGGACCGACCCTTAGGAGTACCAGAACCCGCACTGTTCGCCTTCTACAGACCAATTAATACATTGTCGTCTCAAATATCTACACAAAACCATTTCAAATCAACGTATGAATTCTAATAGGCATTGTAGGCAGCGGCTTGGCTCTGCCCCTGGCATTGCTGAAGTCCATGGGCGACGGTAACCACTCACCATCAGGTGGGCCGTATGCTCGTCTGCCTACAAGGGCAATAAAAATAAATTAATAATAATAATAGAGCGTTAGTAACTTAAAAAAGATATTATTTATTTCCATTAGTAGAGGTAGCGAGTTCCTTTTTTTTATTGCTTAGATGGGTGGACGAACTCACAGCCCACCAGGTGTTAAGCGGTTACCGGGCCCCATAGACATCTATCTATAACGTAAACGCGTCGCCCACCTTGAGATATAAGTTCTAAGGTCTCAAGTATAGTTACAACGGCTGCCCCACCCTTCAAACCGAAGCGCATTACTATTCGGTAAAAATAGACAAGGTACCTACCCGTGCGGAGTCACAAGAGGTCCTACCACCAGTAAGTACGCAAATTATCATTTTGCGGGTTTGATTTTTATATACACGATGTTATTCCTTCAGCGTGGAAGTCAATCGTGAACATTTGTTGAGTACCTACGTATTTCATTAGAAAAATTGGTACCCGCCTGCCTGGGATTCGAACACCGGTGCATCGCTTAACACGAATGCACCGGAGGTCTTATTTTTTAGGTCACGACGATTTCACAAAACAATTTCACACAAACAAAACAATTTCAAATCAACGTATGAATTCTAAGAAAAACTGTTAGCAACTTAAAATATATTATTTATTTCCATTAGTAGAGGTAGCGAGTTTATGAACCATCTTCTGTTAGGCGTGTCCAATAACATTAAAATTAATTAACAAGGAAGCGATGAAGCTAATATTTTAATGACTAGATTTGTAGCAATAGCAATTTAAGTGCGAAGACTATTAGCGTATTATCTATTTTACTACGCTGAGGGCTTACAGTGCCCTACGTGTTCAATATAATAATCCGCTTAAGATGATGTTGTCACTGATGCGCTTTTGTAATGCATCCACAATGTTTGCGACATCTCACACAGATGACTTCTTTGCTATAATGCGGGAAAGAAGTGCATCGTTATTGCGTCGCGTTCGTGACAGTGGCAATAGTGGAACGTCATATCGAGCAAGATCGAGGGACGGCTGATTTGCCTTTGCAGCAGGCATTGGGAAGGGAAAAAAAAGTAATGATATATAATGTGTGTCTGATATTTATGTGTTAGATTTTTAAGTTACTGACAAAGATTATAAGTAATTCTTACTAACAAAATGTTATGGTTTAAAAAAATATTGAAATAAAGTATAAATAAAATAAATAAATAAACTACACATGAATATGCTAATGTGTCGAGTTACTACAAAAAGATTGCGATCTATTGCGAGCATTTATTGGGTTAGGTGATTAAGAAATAACATAACATGCGTACCACAGGTGGTTTTCTGGGTGTCTGGAAAGAAAAACAACATAAAAGCATCGTGCAAGTGTACAGAAAAAATTATTGCGTGAAATAACAAATAAAAGCACAACACGTTAAATATAACAAGTAGAATAGAGTATTACAAAAAAACAGCCAAAAATAATGAACTATTTTACGTATGAAAAATAATATCAGGAACACAAAATTAAATCAAATTCAAATTATTTTCTATTGAAGTAGGCTTTACAGGCACTTTTAAATCTTTACATCTATACCGCCGATTCGGAATGCGGTTATTTCTCTATTGTATTGTACCAATTTAATATGGCATTGTTTGTCATTCACAACTTAAAAATTTAAATAATTGCTTTTCATTTGAGTTAAGTTTTTTTTTTTAAATTGCCGCAATACAATAATCTATTGAATATTAAGATTTTTGGATGTAAACTTACTGTGTTGGCTGGTCGTTGCATAGCACCCCGTGTCTTAGTCGTCTCCGATACCTAAGTTAAACATAATATTCTATGACCGCTATATTTCTAAGTCCAACATATTTAATTTACTCAATAATAATTTTATATTCTTAATCTTTGTCCTAAAAGAAAGTTTTTACATTTTTACTGTCAATTGTCAATGACGAATTTCTTTTATTTTTAATTACGAACGTAGGCCAGCTCTTTGTCAATTAAAAAGGTTATTTAGGTTTAACTTATACAACATATTTTAAAAATAAACATTTCAGTGTTTTTTTATGTTAACAATTGCAACTAATATAAGTTGTCGATGTAAGTCCTAATGAATATAGTTCACGTGGCGGATGCACGGCTATCAGAGAAGAGTTGAGTTTCTCATAAATACAAAACAATATTAATTTGTTGTATGTACTGATTATAAAAACGTTGTTAGTGTATAAGATGTCGTGAGCAATGTGAAACAAAGATGGCTTTTTTTCCCTACCTAAGCTGATGGTCTTGAGAGACCATAATACGTGACCGGGAGAGTAGGTGAGCTCAAACCTGACGTTGTTGCTAATACGAACCCTAGCAAGAGCCGTGCTTCGCAGAATCTACCACCGGATCGGAAACGCGACCCACTGAGTAGATCCGGCGAGAAACTCAGTGGGCTGTGTCTGTGGGTTAATTTACTCGTCGAGCCCTTCGTCACAAACGACGGGTTCGACGAGAACGATGACCGGTGTTTGGGCTACCTAAAATCACCATTAGTGGATCGGGGGGATCGGAAATGGCGTGAAAATGGCTGACGAACGTTCAGCTGATTCAAAAAAACGTATTTAAAAAAAAGGTTTATTAAATACATATATTTTCGACCACGATTCTTCTAATGGTATCGTGTCAAGTATCACCAATTTTAATAATTGTCTTCGGGCTTACGAACCCTCGCAATCTCAACCCTCAAAATCTCTCAACCTTATTACCTACCTAATATAGCATACAGAAGCAAGATACTTACGCTTCTATCACTGGTAATTCTACGAGGTGAAGCCGTGACGGGTGTCTGTGGTTTCGATTTTACAGGGCTCGTTTTGGCTGGTGCAGTCCTAAAAGCATACAAAAGAATCCACTCTCAAAATAGAAACAGTCTAAATTTTATGTGGTAGGTATAAGTGGATTTTTTGAGTCCTCTGTAGAAAAACAAAGCGCTGCGGTCAGTGACCTCATCCCAACGGGTTAGTTTTGATTTACGTCTGTTTTGATTAAACATCTAGTCAATCAAACTCGTATTTGCCAATTAAATATACAATTTTTTTTTGGTCAACCGTATTTTCTATGCCCTTCGTACCAAAGTCATGGTATATCAAATTCCTAAAAAAAAGATTTCCTCACGTAGTTTTTTATATATCGCCGTTGTCAGTGGTCACAATGTTAAGGATATTGAGCCTATTTATTCACGTGAGTGTAACAGCTTCGAGTTGCCATTATTTTAATTACTTTATTTACTTTTCAATATCGTATTTAAATCATTCCAAAAATGTCGTTTCTGCGTTTTGTTTCGTTGGTCGCGAGTCGGTTATATTTCAAATCGTATTCTAAATCTATTCAAATAATAATTGTAAATAGACAGGCTTGAACAAAAACCGACTTCAAATAGAAAAAAAAAGATATTCCAAATCAAATTAATCTACACTAAAAACAATAATCATCGAAATCGGTTAGCGTGATATTGAGTTATTCATCTATTTGTCGCGCACGTACTTAATGCAAATTTAAGACTTATATATGGTTTTCTCACGGATACCATTATCAGAACTGGACTAAAATGAAATGGGAAGCGTCAGATTTCTAATAAAAAAGAATCATCAATATCGATTCACCCAGTCAAAAGTGATGAGGTAACAAACATAAAAAAAACATACAGTCGAATTGAGAACCTCCTGCTTTTTTGAAATCGGTTAAAAATGTAATCTAGTGAAATTGATATTGGTTTTTAAACACATTTTCGAAACTTTTCGTAACAAGAATTGTGGTTTAATCGATTTAGGAGCATACTTAGTAACAGTAGTCTTCTTTGTTTCGGGAATCGGTTCCGGTGTCCGGGGCGTGGGTATGGGCGCCAACATTTCCGGAAACGTTTCATTTTCTAGTAAATCATTATTGTTTTCCACCTTGTCCGGTTCATCTTTGTCTGCACCGATTTCGCCGTTGCTTTGTGGAAGCTGTGAATTCAAATAAAATAAGTTAAGCATTGTAATTGCAAGTTTTGTAGTGTCTTTAGAGAGTCCCCCATAGACACAGCCCACTGAGTTTCTCTCTGCTCTTGCTAGGGTTAGTGTTAGCAACACTCCGATTTGAGTCCCGTGAGCTCACCTAAACACGTTAGGGTGAAGCTGAAATAGCCTCTCAAGGCTATCAGCATAGGTAGGAAAAAAAAGATAGTTAATCTATATATTAATACGTGAAGCAAAAACTTTGTATCCCTTTTTACGAAAATTGCACGGACGGAGGAGTATGAAATTTTCCACACTTATAGAGAATATAGAGAAGAAGTGCACAATGCTAATATTTTTTTAAAATAATGCATAAAAGATACATTAAATCGATAAAGAAAACATTACACACACTACATACCATGTATTTGACGCACACACGCATGCATATTATTTATTGTCAAACTTTTGTTCTTGACATTTGTTGTCAAATTAAGAATAGATTAAATATTGTTTGTCTTTGTTAATATTTTTATAGTGTAGTCTTGGCGAAATTTGTGATTATAGAAGTATAAAATACAATCATAATAGTGTACAAACTTACAATTCCAATTAATTATAGTGGAATTTCGACTACTGCGGGGCCTCTAGTATATTAAATTACGCGACGGTATAAACTGCAAACTTCTTATCTCAACATCAATCGAACACATTAATTATTTGTATTAAGTAATTTAGTGAAACTGAATTTGTACACAGCTCACTGAATGTGAACTTCACGAGCCAATGGGAGCCCCTTCTTGCGTCACACAAGTGCGTTGACCGCATGCTTTTTTTTCTTCGTTTTTGCTTATTTATATTTCCATTGCGTGCATTATATTGAATGATAGCAAATTTTCTAGTTTTAAATTCCGAGTTGGGAAAACGAACTTACTTCTCACTAGTTGTGCTTCTCACCGGAGCGCCTAGATTCTCTTGATACACAATATCTAAGTCCCAGTTGTGTTTTTTTTTTAATTGTTTAAATTGTTGGACGAGCTCACAGCCCACCTGGTGTTAAGTGGTTACTGGAGCCTATAGACAACTACGACGTAAATGCGTCACCTACCTTGAGATATAAGTTGTAAGATCTCAAGTATAGTTACAACGGCTGCCCCACCTTTCAAACCGAAACGCATTACTGCTTCACGTCTGAAATAGGCAGGGTGGTGGTACCTACCCGTACGGACTCACTAGAGGTCCTACCACCAGTTTATATGGACTGTTCCAATGTTTAAGTTGGAACGAACAAATGGGCAGGGCGGTGGTATCTAACCGTGCTAGTTCCCGTTCAACAGAGTTGTTTATAGTCTTCCTAGGTACAAACCTCACACATTTGCCTTAGTTTCCTGGAGTTCTCTCACGCCCCATACAAAATAATACATGAAATGTAATATGTCATTAAAAAACTCACCGAATGTTTAACAGCGCTAATGTCGTCTTCGTGATTGTGATTGAGATCACCGGAGCCGTTCACCAAATTGTCTATTTTCTGTAACACAATTCCCGCAATGTTTTTATTTTATTTTTTATTTATTGCTTAGATGGATGGACGAGCTGACAGCCCACCTGGTGTTAAGTGGTTACTGGAGCCCATAGACATCTACAACGTAAGTGTGCCACCCATCTCGAGATATAAGTTCTAAGATCTCAGTATAGTTACAACGGCTACCCCACCCTTCGAACCGAAACGCATGTATGTATATGCGATATAATCTTTTCTTCGGTTTTCGCTAGTCGTAGGACATAACTTAAACCGCTTTTACGGTTTTAATTTCGCGTTTATTATTGGCGTTGTATAATTTGCTTTGTTTTAAATACTTTACGATGACTTACGTCTGTGTCATAACAAATGAGTCGTCTATTATCAAAAGTGGCAATCTGTGCATTTGGACAAAAAAATGTTATTGATATGTCAATACAGATTGATTTGAATATAATCGTCGCCTTCAAAGAATACGGTTCAAAACCTGCATTAAATAAAGGTTAATACTTAACCTGTTATTTATTAAGATGTCGTTCAGATGAGTTTTGTGACTGCTAATGGAATACAAAGTCAATAATTCGTTTTTCTGATTTACCAATAATTGTCCAAAAGTCACATTGCCGGCTTTGATAATAGTCGACTCAAATGAAAGACGAAAATAAATATGTATTAAATAAATAAGACCTGTGCGAGCTCAATAATACTAAAGCAGACGTGTCGTTTCTGTTTCACGTCAAGTAACGGCAAAAAGAAAAATATGAATTTCATGAAGAAACCCATATAACTGTATGTATGTGAATATATTATTTATTTTATTCATTATATTGCGGGGTGAAAGGCTTATTTGGTTTGAGCGACATTTTTGCAACTTTACAGGAGAGCCATTTTTAAAGTTTAAAATTTGGAAAAAATATCATCTATATATATAAAAATGAATTTCTGTTCGTTAGTCTCGCTAAAACTCGAGAACGGCCGGACCGATTTGGCTAATTTTGGTCTTGAATTATTTGTGGAAGTCCAGAGAAGGTTAAAATATGAAAATGCTACGAATTAAATAAAAAAAACAATTTTGTTTTTCCTTTGATGTGTCCCCCGTCGGACGGATTCCTTTTGTCTGTTTTAAGTTTATTTTATACAAAAGCTTAGATCTTTTATTTATCGATTGAGGCACTAAGAAGTCTGCCGGGTCAGCTAGTAACAAATAAAAACTTTTTCAGCTATTTAAATGAAGTAAACTTAATTGAAGCATAATTAAAAACATGAACTGTTGATGCTAATACCAATTATAAACGCATATTTATTTACATAGATAAATTTTACGTATTAAACGAAATGTATTTACTTGCTGTTTCTTAACGCTATGAGAGCTGACTGTTGTATGTGTCTTCTGCGATCGCTTCTCGACTGTGACCCTCGTGCTGGTGGTGGAATTCGAAACCTTCGCGTATCCGTTCGGTAATGTCTTCCGGTTCGTTCTTTCGGTGTTGTGTATCGGCTGTAGCGGGTAGCTCTTGTCAATGCCTGCTTTTGTGCGTCTCTCTTCGAACATTTGACGAACCTGGGCGATTAAAGGATGTTATCATTATTATTTTTTATTGCCGTTGTAGGCAGACGACCATATGGCCCGCCTGATGGTGAGTGGCTACCGTTGCCCATGGACTTCAGCAATGCCAGGGGCAGAGCCAAGCCGCTGCCTGCCGCTTAATACTCTAATGAGTACTCTATTTACTGCTTAATATGAATCGCAAATAGCAGCTTGCGTTGGCAGTAAACTTTTTATTTTATTGCTTAGATGGGTGGACGAGCTCACAGACCACCTGATGTTAAGTGGTTACTGGAGCCCATAGACATCTATAACATAAATGCGCCACCCACCTCGAGATATATGTTCTAAGGTCTCAAGTATATTTACAACTAAGGTCTCAAGTATATTTACAACGGCTGCCCCACCCTTCAAACCGAAACGCATTACTTCTCGGTAAAAATGGGCAGGGTGGTGGTACCTACCCGTGCGGACTCACAAAGGGTCCTACCACCAGTGAAATTGTTGTGGGAAAACGTTTAGGTGTTACGTATCTCGTCATTATAGCCAGAATTTGTTTGTCAGTTTCTAATCATCAGGTTTGTGAAGAAATAAAAAAAATAGTCCAGTGAGGTTTAACAGTTTTCTTGCGGTAAAATTTGTCATTATCATTATCGTTAATTGTCTATTATAGTCCACTGTCGGGCATCTCCCAAGCTACGCCACGCGACCCGATTCTGGGCTTCTTTTTACTCAATCTTTTGTCTCAATCTTTTTACTGGTGGTAGGACCTCTTGAGAGTTCGCGCAGGTAGGTACCACCGCCCTGCCTATTTCTGCCGTGAAGCAGTAATGCGTTTCGGTTTGAAGGGTGGGGCAGCCGCTGTAACTATACTTGAGACCTTAGAACTTATATCTCAAGGTGGGTGGCGCATTTATGGGCTCCAGTAACCATTTGACACCAGGTGGGCTGTGAGCTCGTCAACCCATCTAAGCAATAAAAAAAAACTGCTGCTTATCTATGCTATTCTTTATCGTCTCTCAACTTTTTCGCTGCCTGCTATCCTGTATCGTCTCTCAGCTTTGTTTACTGAACGCCCTAGACTACGTTTTCCGGTCCGTGGTCTGAAGTGACAATGTACCGGTCATATCTGTCGCAGAGCTGATAACCATTGAGATTGCCAGATTTTGGAGTGGAGATCGCAAACCGGTAACATTTACAAATTTGTGTATTTACTCGTTTAGGTCGTAGGGTGTATTATGAGGCCGAGTTAGTAAGTACCGCTAGTCTGGCTATTTCTGATGCGAAGCCATCATGCATTTCGGGTCAACGGCCGTATGCAATACAAGGCATTTAAAATGCTACATATTTCTATGGGTTCTGATAATCATTTAACGGACCGTGAGTTCTCTAATCTAATCATTAAGAAAATTCCGACTTTAAATCTTAGGTTCCTTCCGTCAGCTTAACCCAAGCTTATTGCTCATTTCAACCAATGATGAATGTTTTTACTAGAGACTTACCTTTCCTGGCTGATGAGGTACAGGCGTCGGCTGCTGCGGTGAGGATGTACTAACGCCATTGCTGGGAGATTGCCTCACCCGGTCCAAGGCACGCGCCTGTTGCGCTTCGTAAAGCGATGCTATTTTCAATTCTCTTTCTTGTAGTTGTTTCTGTTGAAATCTGGCCTGGAAATAAAAAAAATGAATAAATCTAAAATTTTGCCAAAATATAAATAAAATTATGTAGTTTAATAAATTTTTAAATTGTTCGATTATTTGTTTATTTGTTTTCAGTTCAGATAAAATGGGTATATCTCCAGTAGGGAGATGTAGGCCCAAAGCGAATTGATGTCAAACAGGTAATCGGTCGTAAAATTAATGCCAAATTCATGTATAGCACAATACAATAGTTAATTGTGATAGCGATTAAGGAAAAAGAGAAGAGAAGAGAGAAAGAAGAGAAGAGAGAAGAGAGAAAGAAGAGAAGAGAGAAGAGAGAAAGAAGATAAAAGAGAAGAGGAGAGAGAAAAAGAGAAAACAAGAGAGTTGTCGCAATAATAGATGATAATAAAGATGACGCATTATGTTACAGCGAAAGTCAAGAAGGAGAAGAAGATTACGTATCGGCCTTCCCGTCATTCCAAACCGAAATGAACGATTGCTTCCCAGTAGACATCAACAGCAGGATATTACCTATCTACTTAAAATACGACCACCAGTAATTACCACTAATCTATGTGATTAAAAATAATTAGAACGTTAACCGTTCTTATTTTAGAAAATTTACGGAAATAATGACTGGAAAAGTAATTAGTTGAAAGTACGGTATCTGGTTAACGGTTTCAAGGAGAGCGTGAGGTCGTCGGTCGCCGCCCACGCTTCACTGTACACAACAAGCTGACAATCGACAATTCATCGTGACCGTACTTCCGCGCACTACCCTCGACTAGGAAGACAAACTTTAAGCGTCCCCGAACAAAGAACTGTATTCAATCGAAACGATTTTTTATTCAAATAGGCGCTTTGAATTAGTAATTACTTTATTGGCAATCCAGAAAGCAGTTTCATCGCTAAAAATAATCGCTAAGATATTTTTTTAACCTATGCTGACAGTCTTGAGAGGCTATTTCAGCTTCTCCTTGACGTGTAGCTAATGGGCTCAAACCGGGTCTGTTGCTAACACTGGCCCTAGCAAGAGCAGTGCTTCGCGGAATCTACCACCGGATCGGAAACGCGACCCACTGTGAAGATTCGGCGAGAAACTCAGTGGGCTGTGTCTATGGGTTAATTTACTTTTAGAGTCCTTCGTCGCAAGCGACGGGTTCGGCTAAGACTGTGACCAGTGCTTGAGGTACCTAAAAGCACCGTTAATGGTTCGGGAGGATCCTTAATGACGTGTTTAGGGCACGCTAAGAAATTCGGCGTTTCTTGTTTTATCGATGTGACAATAAAATCAGTGCGCACATTATCAAAACTGCGGTCAAAATAGTTTTTAAGCAATGAAATCGAAATTATGGTTACCCGAGCGTGATTAACTTCAGAAAATTAAACAAACACTTTTAACGTTAGAACCTTTTCATTACGATTTTAAATTGTTTTCGGCATAACAACTTTAGGACGTTTGTTTTTTCTAGATAAATTAAACTAATTAAGGTATATTATGTACTTACATTCTATTTTATTTATTGAGTGAACTAGCTCAAGATCGACCTGGCGTTAAAGAACCCGTAAATATTTTAATGTGTGAGTGAGTGTGTGCCGTAGATTCATTTTTTAACGACTGTTTTATCTTTCGAAACAGAACGCGTGGCTGATTCACGGCAGAATTATCCACGATAATGCTTTCAATCTTTACACGTTGCCTTGCAACCAGCCTTAATTAAGGCATTCAATCGTCTTAGTACAGTGGAGCAGTCGACCGGTGGTTTCTCTAAAGAATTTGTCACCAGTGGAAAATTTCAGGGTGGTTAGGAGCACAGCCGCGACGCTTCATAAATTTGAAGGACTACTCGTTATTGGTTCGTTTCAATTATTATTTTTATCTACTTGCCGGTGGACCTTTATGTAACGCATTGTACTGTTCTTAGTAGGATAAGTCAACAGGACATGATTGGCGGCCAATTACTGAATATTAAACATCGTTGAGCCCACACGACTTTGCAAATTATGTTGCAATAGATCGTGCGTGGCACAATTGCATGTAAACTAGAGGGACGCAGTTCTGTTGTTGTGTTGTTTTACGCGAACTCAGCCGAACCTGTTTATCGATCGGAATTCTAAGGCTCTGTTTTTATTAAAGCGGTGATGACCAGAGAAGAGAGATTTTCTTTTTTTGTAAAAATACATTCTTTTTTTTTTTTATTGCTTAGATGGGTGGACGATATCACAGCCCACCTGGTGTTAAGTGGTTACTGGAGCCCATAGACATCTACAACGTAAATGCGCCACCCACCCTGAGATATATAGGTTGTAAGGTCTCAGTATAGTTACGACGGCTACCCCACCCTTCAAACCGAAACGCTTTACTGCTTCACGGTCGAAATAGGCAGGGTGGTGGTACCCACCCTGCCTGTGTAATTACACAAATTATAATTTTGCGGGTTTGATTTTTATTACACGGTGCTATTCCTTCATCGTGGAAGTCAATCGTGAACATTTATTAAGTACGTATTTCATTAAACACATCACATCAGTAATCACATGTCTTTTCCGTGTAGCTTGGATGGACATGTCTCAAGCAGAGGCGAAATTTTTCTAAGCACAGCGGAGAAGCTTGGCGAGCATATGGGAGAAGTACAGGGAAAGTTTAAAGCGTACCTTTATCGCCGGCGGCGCTTGTACAGAGCTGCACGCTATTGTCTAGATTAAACTGGAAATTAACACTAATTTATAAGATGTATTTAAAATCAATCATAAGTATTCGTTAGTAGCGCGAATAAACAATTAAAAATGATAAATTCAATACAACTCTAATGTGGCATCGTCCTTTTGGTCACGAATGCATTAATCCATGGGTCGAAATATAGTCCGCTATCTTATCTTATCTTATCTTATACCTTTAAACGAGCAATTCTTGTATATATATAATCTGAATCTCGGAAACGGCTCCAACGATTTTCATAAAATTTAGTATACAGGGGATTTCGGGGACGATAAATCGATCTAGCTACGATTTATTTTCAGAAAATGCTGTTTTATTCGTGTTTTCAATAATCAACTTTTTCCGACATCTATTGGCGAATAATAATACTATTTTTCTTAATTGAAGGCAACTAACCAAGATGGCGTTATCAAAAAAAAAAAGCGACGATGATCATCTAGTGATTTTAAAAGCGATCAATCTCACACAAAGAGTCTAGCTAAAGAAAACGTTAAATCAAAGTTGTTTAAAATTGTTTAAAAGCCACCGGTAGCTCTGTTCCTCAAAGCGTAACGAATCACATGAGAAATGGCCGCAGGTTGCTTGCCGACTACAGAAAACAAGCGTGGCCTATATTAGGCGCGGCATGTGCTGATCACACAGGGCCTCAAATATTAAAACGAAATGAATCAAAACGGATTAACAGCCAGGCGAAATCATATTTAGTCGTTTCGCATCATTATTCTATGTGCAATCAGAAACTGATTGGATAAACTTTAAACATTATTTAGGTAAATCAACAAAGGTCACCTTAAGGTTGATTTGGACAAGGATAATCACTCGAGCAAGCGAATATATTATTAGTCTTGTCTAGTTAGTAAATAAACTATACGATTTTCTTTAATCGATGATATGTATTGTCTTAATAAATTGCACGATTAATGCGAGTTTTCATTATCGGAAGCAATCGTTCGCATACCATATTAATATTTTAAAAAACGCTTGCTCGTATTTAATAAATCCTTCGCGAGTAACCGTATTAATTTTCTATTAGCCATTGTGAGACTCAGATCACGAATTCGAGTAGATACCTTTATTAAAAACCATTCCGATTTTGTTAATTTAATTAACATTATTACATGGGATTTACTTTATGGCGTTTGGACGTTTAAATTCAAATAAATCTAAATGAAAAAAAAAACACAATTAACATTTTACAAGAATTATTATTTCAATCAAATTGGTAAGGTCATCGTACTGACCAACGGATGAGTCAGAGTGGACAGTCACTGAGTTGATTGTGCATGCGCTTTATAATGTTAATCTATTCCTTAAATGATACATACCTACCTACGTTGATTCGATAATAAACAGTTTGTTAAGCAATAAAATTAATACGTAACTAGACAAACACAGGTAGGTGGCGGCATTTACGTTGTAGATGTCTATGGGCTCCGGTAACCACTTAACGCCAGGTGGACCGTGAAATCGTCCACCCGCCTAAGCAATAAAAAAAACACACACACAATCAAGTGCCATTTCCTCCTCTATTTTTCAAACACTTTTATTTGTTTACGAGCTCTATTCAAAGATTATGATGATTACGGATTTCGATTATGGGGCGATAATAAAACAAGAAATTTAATTTTACAGCACTATGGTTTGTAGGTAGATATAGGCATGAACTGTGAAAAAATTTCTCAGTGGGATGCGATTCCGATCCGGTGGCAGATTTTGCGAAGCGCTGCCCTTACCAGGGTTAGTGTTAACAAATTCTCTGGTTGAGCCCGAGAGCTCACCACATACCAGTCCGCGAGGATTTTTTTTAGACAATTCAACATTAACATTAACCGCAGTTAATATTGCCCAGGGATATTATTATGTACGCATTCTTACTAATCCATATTCCAATTTTAGCAAGTTAGTTCACATAATTTTCTGCAAGTATTTTCTTTAGTAAGATGTTAGCGAATTTGAAAAATAGAATTTTTTTAATTGTGAATCAAATGTATACAAATTTTACGGTCTAAGTACCTACATGTTTTTAATTTTATTAAATCCTATGTTTCGAATTTGGTTTCGATTGGTTATGGATGATCGAGGTGCTGCTTATTATGGTCTGCTAAGTATGGTAATTACCATAAAAATACTTCGTAATATTTATGTTTCTCTGGACGTTGAAAAAACTAACTATATCTCGAGGTTAAGCTTTTTGTTATAAGTGACATTTGGTCATCATGCTAAGAGAATCTTGTTGCATAAACGCCGGCCATATTCTCATTTAATTTTAAAATCAGGGTAATTTTTTTTGCAATAACCTCGATAA